GAGGAGAAGGGAGAAGAACAAAGGAGGAGATAAGGGGGAAGGTGACTTAAGAGGGACCGGAGACTCGGGAGGAGGGGAGGAGCTAAGAGGACAGGCTGCCTGAGGAGTGGCTAAAGATGCATGAGGACTCAGAATGAAGGGCTTGAGAGGTGGGTGGGTGTGTTCTGGGGTGGAGGGGCATACCAGGACTACTCCTATGAATTCAGCACCAAGTCAACCCTGAGCCAAGCCCTTTGTTCATTTTCTCTCACTTAACCTGGCAATAGCCCCTTGTAAGGGAAGTGCTTTGTTGACCCCATTTTCGAGACGAGAAAACTGAGGCTTAGAGAGGTGCTATTACCGGCCCAAGGTTACCCAGTGTGTCTGACCTCTCAGCATACTCACATAGACCATGGGGACTGGCCAGAAGATGGGCAGGAAGGTTCACCAGAGAGGGGAACGGAGCCCAGTTAGGATTCTGTCTCCCTATGCCCAAATCTGGTGGTTAAGGGCTTGAGAGAAATCAGCCCATGGCAAGTTAGTAGCAGAGCTAAGGTCTTCCCACTCCCAAGTCCAAACCTAGTCGGCAGTCCCTTGGGCTACATCACAAGGACTTGGAGGAGAGCCAAATTGGTCCCCGGAATCCCTGGGGAGGTAGAGGCATGAGAGTCCTCACGTGGGCCCCAGGGAAGAGGTTCAGGCTCCGGTCACAGCAAAAGGCCCAGTCATCCTGGGTTCTCTGTTTCCTAGTAACAGGTGGCCTCCCCAGAGGCCGTTGTGGAGGGTGCCTATAGTCCTAGCTACTTGGGAGGTTGAGGCAAGAGAATTGCTTAAGCCCAAGAGCTGGAGGTTGCTGTGAGCTGTGATATCATTGCACTCTACTGAGGGCGATAAAATGAGGCTCTGTCTCTTAAAAAAAAAAAATCAAAAAGTGGCTCGGCTTGCAAAGTCCGCAGCCTCTAGAAGAGCCCAGTCAGGGCAGTGAGAGGGAGGAGGCAGAGGGGCCACAAGGCTTGTCTCTGTAGGCACTGCAGGGTGGTGGCCCAGAGATGGCCTGCCTTCCTCAATCCCAGGTTCACATTTTCTTCCTGTGGACACCAGACTTTGTCCTCAGCAGGTCTCCTCTATCACAGGCAGCTGTGGCTTCTGGCTCTTCTCTGCCCCTTTCCCATTTCTTGAGCTCTGGTGGAGTTAGGGAAGTGGGATGGGGCTGAAAAAATTATCAATCTCAGCTGGACTGAGAGAGAGCATTTTGGCCACTAAGGAATGGGGACTGGGAGGATAGGCAGGTGGAGGGGCGATGGCTGGGCTGCTACCATTTGAGAAGAAACTGCTCCTGCTCCTTGGGTGGCTCCTTGGCTGCCCTTCCCTCCCACTCAATCCTAATCCCAGCCTCACTGCAGGCTTCCCATCAGAAGTGGTGCTGTCCTCCTTGAAACCCCCACTCCCCTTTCCTGCCATGGAGAATATAGCAGAACTAGGGCTTAGGAAGGGGCAGTACTGATGTTCAGGTTATAACATTGGCACAGCAGTATTGGATGTTAAGATAGTTAAACTCTGAGCAGCGCCTGTGGCTCAGTTAGTAGGGTGCCGACCCCAGATACCGAGGGTGGCGGGTTCAAACCTGCCCTGGCCAAACTGCAACAAAAAAATAGATGGGCATTGTGGCGGGTGCCTATAGTCCCAGCTA